TTAATATATATAAATTTCATAAAAGCACACAAAAAAAGAGAAAAAATATGTTAAGTGAAGACAGGTAACCCCAAACCGGGGGGTAAGCGTTTATAGCAACAGACTTTTAGGCATTCAGCAATCCCCTACCTTGTGGAAGTAGAAGTTTCTTATATCACTCAGGCAGAGAAGGAGATCCACAATGGCAGAACGAACTGAAAGTGCACTATCCAAGATCAAATGACCCAGTCTTGGTAAGAGCACTTTAAGGACTTCATGAGAATGAGGGTTTCCCAATAAATATATGATGCCGCCAACTGCAGAATTCCTGACATCTGTGCATGCATCATGCACCATTTGGTCGAAAATCTTGGTGAGTGTTTTGGTTATTGTGAGAGAAGGGATAACTTCCCAGAACATATGAAGAATCCGGCAGCAACCTTCAACCGCTACAACTCGCACATCTGGACATTCATCCATGACTAATATATCCATAAGAAAGAACTGTTTCTCAAGAAGGGAGTCCTTTCCCTCCATTGTAGCATCAGGATCTTCAAGAGGAAACAAATCCAGAAGTAAGTGCAATGCATTTTGACGGACATTCGAGTTTGCAACCTGCAGCAAAGTTTGCAGATAATTTCAAGGATCCATTTGGGACCAAGAAAATAAATATGGAAAAGAAAAAAAAGGGATATAATACTCCGGGTATTATTTATGTTTATTTTCTAAAGACTGAGAAGTTAGAAACCTAAACTTAAGTATATTTAAAGATTAAAAATTAATTTTCATTTTCCTTTGCACTTTTAAATTAAAACAAGCATTAACATAGTTCCCAATATTTTTTCCTTTCCCTTTCATTTTCACATTCCAAACATAGACTACAAATTATGCTCTCATTGCATATCTATGTAAAATAACAATAACTATGAAAACTCTGATGCGCAGAGATATTCTGATACTCCAATTCCAATTTCTGGTTAACAATAACACTTCAAACCCCAAATAAAGACACTATGTACGTTAACATGGACGAAACATTTGCATTAGGAGCAAACAAAGCAGCAGAATCCAATAGCCATCACCATACCTGCAGAGATCGAAAAATGATTGGCTCAGCAAGGCGAAAGAGGACCCCTTCAACCCCATCTGTAGTTCTCTGGGAAATGAAACCCCCCAAAATCCTCCTAATTGAGGCAGAAAAAGCAGCTGAGCTTGCATGTATAGCACTATCAATCATCATTTGCAAAAACCTATCCTCTATTTCAACCCTTGCTTCCCCTTCTGCCGCCTTCCATGCCCTGAAAGTTATTTCACCAAAAGCTTCCAAAGCAGATTTACGTCCAAAGGGAACCTGTGACCTAATCATTTCCAATGCCTCCTTCACTAACTGCCCACTCAATCCAAACATAAACGCTATGAACTTCCTCCCATCCTCCATCTTTAGAAACAGAGGTGAAATTACACACCTCATCATCAGATGCTTCAAATCCACAATACTCTCATCATCAAAATCAAAAAGATTGAACGCTTCACGCATACCGTACAATCTGTGCACATGGACTTTCTTCTTTGATGTCAAAGCCCTAGACAGCAAAAGCGGCAGTGACCGAGTGATTAATGATTCTTTCCCAATCAAATCACTCTTCCACCACTCTTCGCAAACACTAGCAATTTCAGATAAGAGTCCGGAATCCGACTCAAATAACACCAAATTATCGTGCAATTCACGAGCAGCCGGCAATAAATCAGAGGCACCGAATATACCTTTGGGATGTGAAATGCTTTGGAGCAAAATGTAAGCAAAAAGCTGCAGACTTTCCACAACAGACTTCCTTCTGTCTTCAATTTTTCCATTGCTTTCTTTTTTTGTACTTGATTCGTCGGCATCGTGTTTCAGGTTTCGACCAGATCTGCGAACCCGCTTGGCGGGAGGCGTATTGGGGGGATTTTCTCCAGAAGCGTCGGGATTTAGGTCATTGACGTTCTTAAACTTCTCAATTGCTTGAGAAATGGAGTCGCGGAGGGCCGACGGGAGAGACCCGGCGACTTCGGAAGAAGCTTTGAGGCCGTGAATTAGGGTTTTGAGATGGAGTTTCGATGCGTTAGTAAACCCTAGTTTGGAAGCTGACGAGAGAAACTCTACTGCTGAGGTATGGAGGGATGAACGAAGTCTCTTCTCCATTGAAGCCCGCTGATTCTATCTGCGTGCAGGTGACATGGAGCGGCAAAAGGATCCACACCCCTAATTCGCCGCTCCTAAACTTTGAATTCTAACCGTTGGCCGTTTGGCGCTTTTTGTTTTTGAAATGGTTAAAGCAGTTTTCTTTTTGATATGCTCTCCGTCTCACTGTTCAAGAGTTACGAATTTTTTTTATTTATTTTTACATTTTGATTTATTATTAAATAAAATAAAATATTCTTATTTTATAGACTTTTTAATGTATTTCTTTTAAATATGTAAGGTTTTAAAAAAAAATTATATCAATCTTTAAATAAAATTAATTTAAAAAGGAAGTCATCATAAATAAAAGTAAAACATACTCGGTAGAATTTATACTCAAAATAGGAATTACAAGTTTTTATATCCGAAATAAAATTTTACACTGTGACATTATGTCATTGTATAGTGGCATCACAATGTATTTTTTAGTATTATATATTGACATTGTACTCCTATTTAGAGGATAAAATTGTCGAGTTCTTATTTTGATATTTTCTCTCGATTTTACTTCTATTTTAGTCTTTTTTTATCTTAAAAATACTTGAAAATTTGCTTCATTTTGCGTAAAGTATAAAACATTTTGGAATGAAGGGAATCTTTTTCTAACCGGCCCGAATTCCTTACCACTGGATAACGGTGTCACTCTGGTGCCACTGAGCGCTTCGGTGCTCCATTCACAAAAATGATGGTTTCTACCTCGTGGTAAACCCGCCATCTCGGCCAGACAAGGACCCATCCCTCCTATCCCTTTTAATTACTTTGGAGTCAAATTTTTCACCCCAAAGTTTACTAAACCTGAATAAAGTTGAATGATACTCTTTCCGTCCCCCCATAGATTTTGTCATTAGCCATTTTATTTGTTCCTCATAGATCTTATTATTACCTTTTTTATATTTAAAATATCACAACTATCTCCATTTACTTTATTAATACATCTCATCTACATCATTTAATATACTCCGCCATTTTTATTATGGTATTTTGATCAACTTTAACTTTTTTATGCCCTTAAAAATTTCAAAAAGACAAAAAGAAACATCTTAGGTGTACGGAGGAAGTACTTCGTACTTTATAAATCGTGTCATATAAGTCTAATGAATTTTGAATACGTCGAATGAAGTTAGACTAGACGCAGTACTCTACATGATGAGAGGTAAGAATCCTTAATTTTGAGAACACTAGAGAAGTCGTTGACCAGTGTCAACGGAACCACCATCTTGGTTTTATCAAATAAATTGAAGGAGCAAAAGTAACATCACATTTAGAAATCTCATTTAAATATTACCCCAAATAGTTTAAAGTTATGTGAGAGTTAGATTCAGTTTTTGAGTCAAGCTATACTTGAAACTATTGGTCTTAATAACCCGACATGCTTGCAAAAGTTCTGACTAAAACTCTTAAATTTTAAAATCTAAATTGGAGTCAGGCTGTATTCACTCTTACTTGTAAGGCTCGGTAAGATATTGCACTATAAAGATGGATACGATCAATTCTATTGTTTTTCATTCTTAAAATGGAGGAACCAGAATCAGAACCTCTTGGGACCCATTACTGCGTTACAGTTCTAATCGAGTTCCACTAGCAAATTCGTTCTAACTCTCATCCGTTTATTATTATTTTAAAAAAATAAATATATTCAATGCATAACAAACAAATATTATCAGATTTTAGATTAAGAGAAATGTAATTCTTCACATTAACTTAGTTTACTATTAAGTTATAAAATATAAATACAAGTTATACAACTAAACTCAAATTTATCTATTCAAATCTCGATAAATTTGAAAATCATCGGTTTGAATACTGATTCTAAATTAGACCCATGTCCATCTTTATTACATCGATGAGGCAATAAGGCGGTGAGCTAGTGACCACACCCCCACAGATATGTTTGGTGGATATGCCTACAAGACATGTGTTGGTCGCAGTCGGTTGTAGCTATAAGTATTTTTGGAGCATGGGTGCCTAAACCCCCAATATTTGAAAAACGATCGTGCTAGGGGTATATTAAGGAGTGCAATCCAAATTGTACTTCAAAATTATGCACTAACATTTTGATAGTTCATACAGATACAGAATGCTAGTGTAATAAAAAAAATTGCATTAACATTTTGTATCACAATGACACTACTTCATTACTCTTGGAAGTAACATAAGAACATGGGACTCACATCCATTTTTGCATGGTACCTCCTATATACAAAGTATTGATTCATTAATAGAGACACCAAGTTGGCTCGCCCAAGTTAAATAGTCAATCTTCACTCTAACTCGCATTTGTCAATGTGCTTGATTCATATGTAGGGTGGGTTTGGAAACAACTTCAACATTTAAAAAAGTGTTTCTAATGACATAGTTTAGTCATACTCCGTATCATTTTAAAAGTTAATGTATATCATCAGATTTTTATCCAAAATGCTAACAATTCTAAAGAAACAGTATTCCCAAACAAGGCCATAAACTAATCCATAAAAGTAATTTAAAATAGCTAGGCACTCCAACTTAGAGCCATGTACCAAAGGTCTTTAGAGGCTCAACCCACATATCAACTTCCATTATCTTAGTTAAATAGGTTGGTATCATAATTTATCTCTTTCTTGGCATGCATTGGGATGGACAATGTAAGGATGATAAATTTTATCTTTTGGAACATGATTAGTCGGGTATGTTGAGACTTTGGGGTGTGGATTTTCTATTGTATTTCACTTTTGTTGGTCCAAAATAGAACTCCAACCAATGCATTCATCATTACAAAGCACATGTTTGCTAACAGACAATTGATCTTCAGTAAGATCACAGTTTTGTAGGTAGGAAGAGATGAGAATGATAAAAGGGCATGTTCGTTTGAGTCTCTTAAGATGGAACACACAAAGATTCCAATTGTGTTCCCAACCAAAGTTGCATTAGTTGTTGCTTATTGTTGTTGTTGTTTACTTATTGCAATTCACTTGTTCATATGATCTTAATGCTTAATCATGTTTCATTGCACCAGATAGCTAGTTTTACACTAATGTTTAGCTTCACAGAACTCTCAATTCCTATGCAGTTTAAGAAGTAAGGTCAATATATCTTATTGGGGCAGATACGTCCAAGTTCTTGAACACCGACGATGCCACATCCATGTTTGCTACATTTAAAAAGCAAATATAGAATTATTAAGGCTATGCTCGATTATGAGAAGATAGTCTGAATGTATGTTGTGCTATATTCAATATGTCCATCTCATGGAGACAAAAGATTCTTATTTTGGAAAATGATTCTCTTCATTATTTTCTAAAGGAAAGCAAAAACTAAGCAAGTAAAAAAAGAATCTAATAGTTCAGCCTTTCTTTATGTACCAAATGCAGGAGAGATGCAGCAAATAATGCACAAGAAAGAGGAAACACTTGTACCCCAAAAATCTCAAGAACTCAGCAGGCAATATGTTCATTATAGGTTCCTCATTAGAACAAAACAAAAATGCATATGAAAGACTATGTAGTAAAGAAGCAGCAAGTGAAAAGTATGAGCTAGCTAGCAGCTTTGACGAATAGGAACTCAACCAAGAGCTAGTCTGAAGACAGCATTCAGCTGTTTCATATTATTATAGCTTTGTGTTCTATATAATCTTACTTTCTCCTCAACACTTCCTTTGGACTTCATAAAGCAATCCCTTTCCTTAAAGATGTCACTTTTATTCATACCTTCTTTGATTGTCACAACTGAGATTACCTCATTTCTGATGCCTGATTCCGCAAAGATTAAAAAAAATCAAATAAATCAAACTCCACTACCTTGATTAATCTTCTTAGAATGCCAATCTTGGCCATTGTCATCGAATATGAGCCTTCTCTTGGAGCGAATGGCAATGGAAGTAGAAGGTTTATCAGGAACACTTGGGCTCAAACCATGTAAAGATGGATTTGGTAAAACTGAAGACTTTGGAGTGTTGGACTTAACCCTATCCATTTCTTGAATCATATTATAACAGTCGAAGACATGTTCCTGTAAAAATGACTTTCATTTGTCAACTAATCAACGGAAGCTAAGAACATAAACACATTAAAAGAAAGACAATTAAAGATTACGGCTTTTTTAGGAAACACACTTTTTCCAAGCATCCCCAAGATGTGATCATGTTTGTCTTAAACTCCACTGCTTTCCTAGTTAGCTTATGATCATAAGCTGCTAAAACAGACGCTGCAGCAATAAATGATGCCCGGCGTTCCACTAAATTAACCTCTGCACACAGCCGTTCAAATTAAGAATTTAAGAACCACGCCCGCCAAATGCAAAGCACATCATTAAGACCAAAAAGTTTTCAATAATCCAGATACCTCTCATTATATCCACAATTAGCTCAACGGCTTTGGGAACTATCTCTGTTGGTCTCAATTCGCCACAAAACTTGGTGACAAAATAGTGGACGAACGAAAATGGTGTCATCAAATTCATTTTCCACTCCAATGTATTCAAGACCAACAACTCCATTCTTTGAATCACACTGCCTGCAAAATGGTAGTCATCTACATGATATTGAGACAATGCCGGGGCTTTATTCTCCTCAACCTTTGCAGCCAAAGCTAAACAAGCAACTGATAGCAATCGGATAGCCCACGTCTTCCCCATCTTTAATCACCATAAATCAACTAATTCAGTAATTCCAATCGAGAAAGATCTAAAAAAACTTCAAATGATTATGATTCGGATATCCAAAACAGAAAGTATTCTTACAGCAACGGATGTCCTATCCATGAAATGATCGAAATACAGCATAGATAGATAGGCAGTACTGGATTTAAACCCGAAAATCGCTCGATTCTGTGTCAAAAACCATTTCAAGAGCATCAATTAAATCAATCCCCACCGATGAATGGACATAATAACAGAAACCAAAGGAAAAAAAAACAAACAGTGAGAATCCAATTGGCCGCTTCCAATCGAGCGAGTTTCAACCAGCTTTGTCTACTCGCGGATGAAGAATTGTCGACCGATTCTCCTCCAGACAGAGAGCCGATATCTCTCTCGATCATCATTTCTATGAACTCGACATCAGAATCGGAGACAGGACAAGGGCAGTCAAAGTCCGATTCTCTGTCAATGCTTCCGCCATTCAAACAGGAATCGTCTTCTTCGCAGATAAGACTGGACAGAGAGAATGTAGGATCCGAATCTTGCATCGTTTTTTCGAAGAAGGGTTTTGAGGTCCGAAATCTAGGGCGAAAATGGTGATCGAATCTAAAGATGGAATGGAGAGGTGGAGATGGCGAGTTACTGTCTTAGTGCCGCCAAATTTAGCGGATGAGAAATATAAGGGCGGGTATACCGTATGTATACGATTCGCGATACCGTATTATACGGTTAGTATACGAAATCGGATACGATGCCATTTATCCTTATCCTACACTACCCTTTGCAAATTCCGAAAATCTTTGTTTGTGGATGGTTCGGTGAGTTTAAAGCTTGATAATTGAAAGATATTGAGTTCGAACCATGAGTTTATTACACCATTGTTTTTTTGTTCACTAAATGTGTATAGTTACCTCTTATAGTTATAAAATTAACGTCATTGACTTTTATAATTCTGACCATGGTCGATTTCGACATTTTTAGGCCTTTTGCCAATTAAAAAAATTTGGCTTCTATTATGATTATTTTTAAAAAAGAGCAATAACACTTAATGAATTAAAATGATTGATTTTTTTAACAACAATATATTACTAGTTCTATTAGTAAAGAATGAATATGGACCCTTTATGAAATGGGTCCTAGGCGGCAGCACCCTATATACTTACCCCAAGGCTGGCTAGTTTGATATTGCAACGCAAATGTTCTTCTGGATAAAAATATTTTTCAAATATTAAGTAAATAATTTCATTATCCTCTATGATTTTGGAACATGGGCGCCAATGCCCCTCACCTTCTTCTTTATTGTTTTCCTTTAATCTTTTTTTTTCAAAAAAAGATAAAAGAAAAACAATAAAGGAGTAAGTGGGCGCCATGGAAAAGTTATTTTTCAAAACTAAAATTCGAATATGCCATATCCGTCATACTTCGATTATTTAATTTTGAAATTTTAATTCAGAGACAGAAGTAAGTGGAGATAGATTGGGCAATTGGGATTGTAATTTGGACCATCTTAGAGTTGAAGAGTTGTACCCGAGGGACAAACCCAATAACATGGAAATATGCAATCCAATTTCATTTGAAAGCCCAGCTTAAATTAGTAAAAGAAGCACTGGTTGTTGGACGCCTTGGACCAGTTTTGAATTTGCATGCCATGGGCCAACCCAATTGCTTGGAATCTCTTTTATTAAAGTCCGTTTGATAAATTTTAAAAACGTATGTTTGAGAACATGGATTTGGATTTCAAATCCGGATTTGGCTTAAATTTCATGTTTGGGAAACTTAAGCATTTTGAATTTGGATTTGAATCAAATTCTTTACATTCAAAACAAAGCTTAATTTGAAATCCATGCACCTTCCCTTATCATTTGAAATTCAGAATTTCAAATTTTGGAATTGAAATGCATCAATTGAAATGAAATGCTAGTTGCCAAACACTACCTTATATGATATGAGTTTTAAAATTTGAAAGAAATAATACTCTGTAAATATTTGAAATCTAAAATAATGGTATGTTTGGGAACATGGATTTGGATTTCAAATCCGAATTTGGCTCAAATTCCATGTTTGGGAAACTTAAAAAATTTGAATTTGGATTTGAGTCAAATTCTCCTCATTCATAAGAAAGCTTAATTTGAAATTCATGCACTTCTCCTTGTCATTTGAAATTCAAGATTTAAAACTTTGAAATTGAAATGCATGAATTGAAATGAAATGCTAGTTGCCAAACACTATTTAAAGATATTTTAGAAATTTAAATCATGATTTGATTAGTTATAGGTGGGGTGGCCCGAAATGGGGTGGTTGGCGGTGACAACAATAACCGGTAAGGCCACATGGTGTCGAGGTGAGGAGAGGTTTGGTGTGCCACGTGTCACTCAGCCTATGAGAACACCACCCTCTGTTTGGTATTCGGCGTTGGAGGAATGAAGGCGCCGAGCTCGCCGATCTAATCTCTCCTCCTCCTTTTTCTTATCAGTACTACAAAAACAGACTTCAGTATCGAGATTTTTTAAATTTTTTACAGCGATTTTTAACGGATGTAATTATTCTAGAGTAATTGCATCGGTTGTAAAAAACTATTGCTAAAACTTTTGGCAAAGTATAGCAATCATATTGATAATCACATTGACACAAAATGAAATTGCAGACTTCTGACATGTAGCGTAGTTCTTTATTCTTTTTGATGGTGTAAAATACTGTGCAAATATTAAGTACAAATGATCGGAAGGGTTGTAGGTGGAAACATCTGTAATCCGGTTTGTTATTAAGGATAATAGGACTATTACAAAGTACAAGCCGTGCAGGTTAATTATAGCATGCCTCATAAATGAGGCTTTTAGGGGTATTTATAATAATCCTAAGCACGTCAAACACGTCATTGATCATTCAGCCGGTCAGTTCACTGACCGATCCCTTTGTATGTCTTCGAGAGAAGAATCTGCGTCTTTGACTTCGGATCTTCTCATTCCCAACCGATCAGACAACCCGGGTTGACAAGGTCAGGCGGCACCACATTTGGTACCTCCCGATCGGTCAGACCTACCGGACGGTATCCATGGGTTATTACCCATCACTTTTGTTGGCATTTCCTATGATTTTGCAAATGTTGGGATTTGTAGTTCACCCAACTCCAACCATCCTCCATTTTTAACACCAAAATACTACGTATGTGTTTTCTTTGTTATACCTTTTCACAGAGGCAAATCTGCAATTGTATTGTAGCTCAACGCATTCTTTATACCAACTAATTTCTATTTTTTTTCTTCGAAATAAGAATTGTCAAAAATATTTTATTTTATCAAGTAACTAATGAAATCGTACATTCTTTTGGAAGAAGAGGGCTACTTTTATTTCGGGAACGTTTATCTTGCCGGCTCATTCTAACCGTTCATGTAATGTACTAATGGACCCTAACAAAGACCTCCGGGTCCTCTACCAGTCCGATCAATTTTTTTGATACATGTCCTCTTGCTCATATATAGGGAGGCAGTACAAATGAAGAAGAAACAGCTGTACGTGGAGTAAGACGCCACGTTTTCCATAAGTTTGGCAATCATCATCGTCATCATTCCCAAACACTAATTAATGGTTTGGTCTTGGGTTTATCGGAGCTGACACAGATCCATATCAAATCTAAATCCTTAATCCTAAACAAGTTGGTGGCCATTTCCTTAATTAAATCATTGATTCATTTCCCATCCCTTGCCTGATCTCTTTATATACTCACACAAGATCCATTCATAATACCTGCATCGTTCATCCCTGTCCTCCTCCCCGCTCCCTCTCAAATCCAATCATCCCATTGTTACAATTATTATTATTGCAAGAAAAGGGTCGATCTTTGAGGCCGTATTGTCACAGTTTTGTAACATTTGGGCGTCCTCTCCAGATTGGGTTATGCATATTCATGTACATTGCGAGTAGAAGAAGAAGAAGAACAAAGAACAAGAAGAATCTGGGCTCTGTCTGATTTCTGTTCTGCAACTCATCAATACTCGTAAATACTCCGTAATCATTAGAGGTAATTGAGGAATGGAGTCATAAGGAAACATGGGTTCTTTTAAATTTTCAATCTTTTTCAACAGATCATGTGACTCATGTCGCATGAGGTTTGATTCATGGATATTTTCTCGATCTGTGTGGTGTTTTATCATTTCTTGATTTGGGTGCTTTTCAAATGAATGAATAAATGCAGAGAGTTGAGTGGGGGCTGTGGGGGAGGAGGATCGGAAAGATGACCCTTGAGAAATATCTGCCTGCCCCGCCTTCATTGCCTCCTCCTCTTCATGGTCCCAACCATTCAATGGCACGCAGATCACAGATGAGAGGGCATGGTCACTGCGTTTCCTCTGCAGATCGCCTCTTCGATGAAGCTTATCGAGCTGATGTGAAGATCAATGTCAGAGATGGCTATGTCATCTATGCTCATGCTAGCATCTTGGTAAGTTCTAATATGGCACTTTAGATATAAAAACACTAATTTAGCACTTTTTTAACACAAACTTTACATGTAGTCTGTTTTGTAGATATTGCCAAACACTTTTCTTAGATTCAGCCAAATTAGTCTCACCAAAAAGTGCCTTACGGTTCCAAGTAGAGATTGATATTGATCACTGTTATTTCTAATCCTGCCTATAGGGTGTGGCTTCACCAGTAATCAAAGCAATGTTAAGAAAATCATCAACTAGACAAAGGCAACAGAGACATCTATCAATCTCAATCCTGGGTGTTCCGGCGGAGGCTGTTCATGTCTTTGTTAGATACCTGTATTCATCCTGGTAATGTATACACACATGCCATTTGAATATGAACCAACCTTTTTATTGCTCAAGTTACACCACATGATGATGGTAAAAAAGGGCCTTTTATTGACAACGTGATTCTTTTGTAGTTATGAAGAATCGAAAATGAAGGAACACGCGTTGAGTTTGTTAGTTTTGGCACATTCATATGTGGTTCCTCAGCTCAAGAGGGAATGTGAGCGGGTGATAGAAGACGGATTGATAAATACCGAAAATGCCATGGATGTTTTCCAGACTGCTCTACTGTGTGATGCCCCTAGGCTTAGTTTTATCAGCCACCGGTTTATCTTGAAAAACCTCAAACCGGTTTGTGCTACACAAGGATGGAGGGCGATGAAGGAAAGCCATCCTGCTCTTGAGAAAGAGATCTTGGGGTCTGTCATATATCATGACATTGTAAGCATTACAAACAGCTTGTCTGTGAATTAATTGTTTTTGCTTAAATTCTTATGGTTGCATAGAACAGAAACTCTTGAAAAGCAGAAGGAATTAATGTTTTGTTCATACAATTGGTTTCAGATGCAAAAGGAAAGGGTTAGAAAGATGAATGAGAGGAAAACATATATGAGTTTGTATGAAGCCATGGAAGCACTTGTTCACATATGCAAGGAGGGTTGCCGTACCATTGGTCCATACGATAAGGTGCTGAAAGGAGATGAAGATCCATGCAGACACGGGGCGTGCAAGGGGATAGAGGCACTGATTCGCCACTTTGCAGGGTGCAAAACCCGGATTCCGGGAGGTTGCGTACGGTGCAAGAGAATGTGGCAAGTCTTTGAACTTCACTCCAGGCTCTGCGCCGATCCAGACAGCTGCAGAGTTCCTCTCTGCAAGAACTTCAGGATGAGGAGGAAACAGGTGAAGAAGGATGATATTAAATGGAGGATATTAGTGAGAAAGATAGTGAGATCCAAGAGCATCTCTGGAGCCCCATTTTTCTCATTGGAATCAGCTTGAATTCTCCTCAGGCTGTGCTTTTCAATTCTCACTTCTGCTGTGTACTACTGCTAATGTAAAGCTTCATTCATATATTCATTATGTACTACTGGCATCATCACTCTTTATAATTTTGATTAAGAGAGTGATGTCTCAGAATAAAAGTGAAATCTTTCTACTTTTTAGATGTCTCCCAACTGAAGATAAAAGAAAGAATTGAGATTAAAGTTGCAAGAACAAAAAAATAACCCCATCATATTCGGACTGCGAATCATTGATGATCCACGGGGGCATTGACGTTGTCTATTGTTTTTTTTTCATGCTATGTATACAACAGACAATGAATATTTGCAGGTGTTCAAATTTCTATCCCATAAAGACCCTAAACATTTTATTGCACAGAAAAAAAATGTGGTATGAATCACGGCGAGGTGCTATCAAAACTTGAGGTCCTATCATGTCTGGCGTTAAATCTGCTCAAAACAGGCAAAGAAGCATTTGCTGGTATTTTGAATGATTTTGATGAACCAGCAGCTGTTGCTTCCTGCATCTTCCCAACATCTTTACACACATTATCCAATATGGACAGAAAATCTCTTACTACCATGAAGATTCTGAAGGGATGTGCCCCCTCTTTTGATGCATCTCCATGGAAATACTCTGTGACCTCCTTCACGATGGACAGCGCCTTCCTCTCTTCCCCATTAATCCTACTTATGTCGTCCTCTGCCTCTTTCTGAAACGATCTCATCGACTGAAAAAACTTACCTTGCATACCCGGTTTCTCACACTCCAATACCAAACGAACCTTCCTCAGCCCGGTTTCAAGCTTGGAGACATAGCTATGGAGGACATCACAGTCCATTCCTGCTGCTTTCTTGACACTCCCAAGCTCCCTGCTCAAACCTGCAATAACTTGATTGGAGTCAACCTTTTCAGACCTGATTATCTCTTGGACCACGAAATGGAGCAACGTCGTCTTCCCATCTGTCCCTTTCACATCTACAAGTTTTAGAAGAGTGTCGAGTTTGAAAGCCTTCGCATCACCACGATTGGTGCCATTGTTCATTCGGTTTCCTGTTCTCAACACGGCTTGCAATATTTTCAGGAATAACCGGCTGTTCTTCAACTCCCCACTTGCTTCCTGATGAAAACCAAAAGATGAATCTCACACTTCAAGTAAATTTAAACATATGAAAATGTGGATTCTACTTTTTTTTTTGCGAAAAAGTGGTGTTACCTCAAGAGTCTGAAAAGACTTCCTTAAGTAGTTCACTTCTGAATCAAAATTTGCTCTGTACAACATAGCTTCCACTCTTTTGAAGGCGAAGGGTACACTGAGAACGGCTTTGAGGAACCGTTCTGCAGATCCTGATTTTGAGGTGTCATCGTTGAGGCTTCTCAGCTTAATTTCTTCCTCTTTTGTTGGAGCCATCTTCACCAAAGTCTCCAAAAGCTCAGGACCTAACCCTTCTGGATTTCCTGTACCCCAAACATAACAGAGCAGAGAAACTATGAGAAATTATTTGAAACCCAGAATCTTGAAAAAACCAATGCTTGAGATCAGAGAGCAGCAGACCATCTAGAAGAGCTTCGGTAACCTCCTCCTTTGTTACATTCAATGCTCTCAAGAGAATTGCTATGTTCTGTGATTTCTTGGGATCAAGAACTCTGTTTTCCTGCTCCATGGGTGGTTTTGCTTGTTTGAGTTTCTTGGCGGTTTCTGTTGGAGCCGAATTCGCGGATTCAAACCCGAAGAGTGACTCCATCATGTCCTCATTCAATCTGTAAGGAACACACTTAATTTTCTTTACCATTTTTAGTAAGTCAAGCAGACCCACAAGCCCATTTGCAGAAATGTTTAAGGTAGTAGAAGAACTTACTGGAAGGAGCTGGATCTCAGGTGGTCCCACACTGTATCCCTGTCCGAGGATGCACGTACTTTGTCCCAATGCAGAGGTTTCAACTTGGGTTTTGATTCATCTGAATCAGACCTCTCCTGAGAGCTGGTACCTTTTGAAGAGCTGCTCTTCTCACTCTCTTGTGGCGTTTTGAAGCTTGGACTACTTGATTCTTGGTTTCCCGTTCCAGNCAGACCCACAAGCCCATTTGCAGAAATGTTTAAGGTAGTAGAAGAACTTACTGGAAGGAGCTGGATCTCAGGTGGTCCCACACTGTATCCCTGTCCGAGGATGCACGTACTTTGTCCCAATGCAGAGGTTTCAACTTGGGTTTTGATTCATCTGAATCAGACCTCTCCTGAGAGCTGGTACCTTTTGAAGAGCTGCTCTTCTCACTCTCTTGTGGCGTTTTGAAGCTTGGACTACTTGATTCTTGGTTTCCCGTTCCAGACTGGGCATTCTTCTGGGGAGTCCCTAATTTTCGCGGCGGCAGTGGCGGCGGCGGGGGAGGAGGTGGCGGCGGCGGAGGAGGTCTGGGAATTTCGGGTTTCGATGTTTTCAGTGGAAGCCTGGGCATATCTGGGGGCGGAGGAGGTGGTCGGGAAACTTGGGCTTTGGGTGTTTGCGGTGGTGGTTGTTGTCCGCTTATTAGTTGAAGCCTAGACATGTCCGGCGGAGGGGGCGGCTTGGAGAACTTCGCTCTTTTAGGAATGTACGGCATCTCCGGTCTATCCGGAGGCTCCTGCGGTAGCGGCTGCGGAGAACCGGGAGATTGCTTGACGGACGGCGGTGTAATTGCAGGCTTCATATCCGACGAAGAAGCGGAGAGGCGCGATTTTGGGGAACTTCTCTTTGAGTAGGGGACATGATTATTGGCTTTAGCTTGGTTCCTCCGCGCAATCGGAGTGTAATAGCCGCCGTCTTCGTTGCTGTGGTTGGACCCGTGCGGCGTGTGAAAGGCGGTGTTGCGGCCCTCCTCGTCGGACGATGTCATTGCCGGCGGAGATGGTATGTCCGGAGGCGGCTGCGGCTTGCTCAGCTGCGGGATTGGTTGGAGGTCCGGACTCGGCCTATACCGCTCGGATCTCAGTTTCCGATAAGGCGACCCGTTGGACTCACTCGCTGCCGAATTTCGAGCGGACGGGTCAACTGTTCCGATGTAGAGAAACGATGAAGGCGGGTTTCTTGTCTCCTCCGTTCCCCTGCGGGAAGGATTGCCGCCGACAAGCTTTTGAGATTCGCCCATATGTTTCCCGCAGTGCTTGCAGATGTAAAATCCCGTCGCCGCCAACATTCCCAAGGTCACCGTCCCGACCGACAACGCAATCGCCACTTTCTTGACTGGCCTCGACGCCGCATTTGTCTGACCCGGCGGCGGCGGCTGGTTCTGATCTGGTGACTGCCCGCCGGGAACCTCCGGAAAGAAAGGTGCGTCGGGGCTAGATATCACGGGATCGGATGGAGGTAGCTCCTGCGGCGGCGGCGGAGGAGGAGGAGAGGTGTCGGTATCGGACGGCTGTTCTGAGGTCACCGGAAACAGGGGCTGATGCAGAATCCTCCGAGAAGCCAAATCCCCGGCGGCGAAGGAATTATTGACTAGAGCGAAAGAAAGAATCAAGAAATGACAGAAGGTCGGAAGAGCAGGAGCTCTCATTGTGCTAATCCGCCTGTGCTATTTTCTTCTACCCAATTCATCTCCTTCTGGGAAGAAGAAGAAGAAGAGGAGGAGGAAAAAGGAGAAGCTTCTTCGAGCTGCAAGATCTGCGGATGGATTGTTGAGTGGGCGATGTGAAAGAATCATTGTCAGCAGTGGCCGCTCACTTTGTCTTTTTATCTTGCTCCCCTCCTCTACCTACTTTTTCAGTACTGACGATGATTCTTTGTTTCTAGTTTTTCCCCTTTGACGCACATCATGCTCTTTTATACGGAGTAATCTCTAAATAATTTTTTTAGTTTTTATTCGGATATACTCCCTAAGTCCCAAAAAGAATATTACATTTCATTTTTTTGCGCATCACAAAAAGCACTGCTACTCACATCTAAAAATTTTAAAATTTACCATATTTACTCTTTATTATAAGATGAAATTGTTTTGAAAGTTTTTTTGGCATTTGAGACGATATAAAAGTATTTTAAGGGATGCGCAAAAAATGAAACGTAACAATCTTTTTGGGACGGAGGGAGTACATATTTTTTTCAAACTCTTTCTACTTCCGGACTAATTATCTTAAACACGATATATTATTATTATTATTACTATTATTATTATTATTACACATATTATGTTTATAATTATAGCTTATAAATTATTTCATTTTTATCTTACTATTTTTATGATTCACATTAATTATTATTTTTTCTTCAATTTTTTAATATGAATAATATCATTTTTTGTAATCTACAAGATAAAAAACATCAATATTTTAAACTATATACAAAAAAATATGGATAAAATAATTGCATAAAATATTTTTTAATCTAAATTTAAATAAGAAAAACATCAATATTTTAATCTTAAATATATTAATGGAATGAGGTGGAAAGTACTACATTATAAAAACTAAGAGAGAATTACATCTTGAAAAAGAAAAAACAACCCAAAAAGTGTAAAAAACAAATTCAAATACTCCGTAACAAATGATATCACCAATAGTTAAAACACAACTAACAAAAAAGTCATACGCTCATTTATTTGATTTACATTTTATTGTCTCTAAATGTAAAATGTTGTGCATATGAATGTAAATAATCCAATCATCTTCATCACAATCATATTATAAAATTATACTGCGTATTTAGTATCTTCAATTAAGCTTAACTGCATTATAGAATATTAATTGTTCTTTCATCTCTGAAGTACTCTATTACATCTTTAGTTTGTTCATAAAACAACATCACCTTCGACTTATCTTTTGTTGCACCGATAGAAGTAAAACATAAAAAATGTAAAAAAAAGTTTGAGGACATGACAATCAACATGTGTTGGGAAACCACCATCAACATATAAGCAATGACCAATTAATGCAGGATGAAGAATCATGTCATCCCAAGTTTGAATGAGTACGATGTTGCATTCACATTGATTGATATAGTGGCACACATCAATATCGCCCCCTCACCAAATAAAACAAGCTTCCCATTTGCATCCAAAACATCCCTCAAGATATGAGTGGGCAGTGCACATCTACTGGAATCATACCTCACCTTCACATACTTGCATTCCTTTTGTTTCTCAATTAAGGTAGCCATTCTTATTATGATCATAATCATCCTCCGGTTCCCCACCATATCCAAAGGCAACAAATAAGGTTACTCTGAAATCAGGTTGTTTCTTTGTTCAATTCTGTTTGCTTGGTGTAATAACTGAACACAGTTCGTGTTGAGATATCATGGACTGTGTGCCCATCTCCAAACAACCAGCCTTTGACCACCTTGTCCTTAGAGACCACAAGATCCGGGTTTGGAAATTGTTCATCTAAACATGCAGCAATATACTGGAGGTGGTGTTAACATAAAGTGACTTGAGGAGAAAAATGCTTCTAGGTGTCCTTGCACTTGATGATATTTGAGAATTGTGGGCATTTCATTTTGTTCCTTCCTTCCAGGAACTATTCAAATATATAAAATTACAAAATGAGTCCGATTTAATAAGTCCAAATTCACAATTTCTCTTTGAATCTCCTTAACATGAGCTATTCATATATACATCGAATTGCAAAAAATAGCTACATAAGGGTTGCGAATTCAGATTGAACAAACAAATTCTAATTTATATTCTCAAACACGGGCTGGGAAGCAACAACAAGACTTAAATATGAAAACATCTCACAAACATAAGGTTAAGAAACAAAGGAGGCATCTAAACACATACCAGCCTCATACCAGAAGAACAATAACTAACCATTCCAGCGGCTTGTAGTGAACCGATTTAATAATGTCTCAACAACACACCATGGAACACATACACATAGCCAGAGCATCCAAATACGATGCTGTAGGAAAAAAATGTGGATTTATTAGAAAAACAAACAGTTTCAAAACAAGAGTGAAATATTAACCGGAAATTCAAATCTTTTGGTGCAAAAACTAGAAGACATACATAGCAATAAGCAATGTACATGTTATGAATTATCCTACGAAAATTGAACAGGTAGTCGCTTAGGGTCAAAGGCCGGGGGAATTCTATTGATTTAAGCCAAACTTCTTCAGCGTCTTTGTCAACGACAATCCTATGGAATCTTGGGAACTGAGGATAGCCCATTCTTGACATGCTCTGTGTAGAATAATAATGTTTGGGGTAGATAAGAAAATAGCATGATTGATTTGATACTTGGTGTTTGGATTGTCTGTGAAATGAACTAAATAGTTTATAAGGACATTTTGTTGCATTCATGCATAAAATTTCATACTTTAGTAACAAAAATATCCATGACCTACTTGACATAAACTGTCGTTCACACTTCACAATCAATCACACACTCAACAAAGACCAGCTGCAACTACTGCAGAGAATTACATTTCAAAATGACCCATTCAAGCCAACACACAGATTCAGCAAGCCCATGATACAATCAATCACAAACTGTCTTTCCCAAAAAGTCTTATCCCTAATGGTCTAACAAACTAAAATATATAAACTAACTATATTTAAATGACAATTAATCAAATAGAATTATAAGAAACTAAGTAAATGACAAAATCATAGTACGATAACTACAAATTCTATTTTTACGATTTTGACTACCGGATAGATGTTTAGGACCCATAGCTATTGAATTATTTCTAAAACCAAATCCAAATTCATAAATTCTAAAACTTAGTAAAATCAAATACAAACATTAAATGTTACATACATACATACATACGTACATACGTACATACATACATACATACATACATACATCCATCCATCCATCCATCCATCCATCCATGCATGCATGCATACATACATACATACATACATACATACATACATACATACATACATACATACATACATACGAGAGGGGGCCCTATGCAATTTAAAATTGAGTAAAGTCAAATGAATTTTATATTTTTTAAAATGAAAAATACATTTACGAACAAACTAAATTCGAAAATTTGATTACATTTTAAAACCAAACAAATAGAGAGAATGTTATTTACTATTTTCCAGAATTGGATGGAGTTGAAAAGACTAGTAGACCGTAAATGGTTTTATAATTAACAAATGACATTGGTGGATGTCTCGAACTACAAACCAATTTTCAAAACTTTTACAATGGCTGAGTCACCAAAATTTAAAGATTTATATTTATGGGAGGAAGACAATCAAGCAAACTGATTCGATCTAAAATTTGATCATATAAATCTTGATTGTTGAAGTCGATAGAAGAGGACTTTTATGATTTAATGTGTATTATACGTGCGAGTATGTAATGCACATACGAAACGCGAATAAGCTAACAAAACCAGCAACCTATGCAAGATTAAAGAAACACTTCATTCGTCCCCATTTTGATTACAATATCATTTTATATTTCTTCTCGATAACTTTGGTTTATTTGTATGTTTTCATTGATAATCTAATAAAATAAAATGTTAATCTTACCTCTTGTTTTGTAGAACTGTTAGATGTAATTTTTTAACATGTAGTTTTTATATCCAATTAATACATCAATTTTTAAATAAAATGATTTTAAAAAAACGTAAGATTTTACATCTTAATTCACATTTTGTAAACAAAATAGGGATGGATGGAGTACGTGTAAGATTAAAATTAAGTGGAACGAATCAAGACTCTTAATCAAACGGGCCCTAGTGTTTTCTCAAATATTACGATATTTGTTTAGTTCGGCCCTACTGTTTTCCGAAATCTAAGGGGTTTTGTAGCTCAAAATGCTTGCATAGGGTATACACAGTGAACTGAGTAAAGACAAGGACACCGAACATTATCCTATTCACCCACAATGGCGGCTCCTTCTACTCCTCAACCACCACCGTCCTTGCCGGATAACCCACCATCTGTAAGATTTAAAAACATCATATTTTCCTTAGATAAAGACAACCTTCTAAAAAGGTCTATTTCACTGCTTTTTAATTTTTGACGACTGCAAATCCATTACAACATTCTGCTATCGTACAATAGAACTGCTGGAGAGCTTAAAAATGATGTGAGAATGAGAGTGTTATGCCAAATTTAAAGTCCACATCTCTTGGAGCATCTTTGTGCAACTGATAACAACAGTATTTTTTATTTTACCCCCAAGATGGTTCATATGACCCTCATTGGGTATTTTAATCAGCTATTTCTAAAGAGTTTATTTGATAGAAGTAAAGGATCTTATTGGACACAATTTACAATGTTCAATGTTCAAATTGTGGGGAGCACCATTGCCAAAGGAATCGATGACTTGTTCATGGCATGTTATAACCACAAGGGATTGACTATGGACATGGCCATCCACTATGGAAGCAACAATCTCCCTATTGCAAAGTTGTTCAACTTCAGTTTAAGTTAATAAATTCTGTTTTTGTTTTTAATTTGTTTATTATCTATGTTAATTTGTTATTAATTATGTTATATTCATTCATTTGTTTAGTAGCTTGTCATTCCATATCTGATTTAGATTTTATCAGTGCCTTCATGATGGACCTTAATTATCTTAGGAGTCTGGTGAAATTGGTATTAGGCATAGAGGGTCTATAGAGTGTAAGTGAAGCATACAATTCAAAACTCTATTTGTATCTCAACAAAGATTTTTCACAGTTGGAATTTCTTAGAGTCGTAGGAAAATTCTTAGGTTGTTTTGTTAAGTTGTGCTCTTTTTTTACTGACAAACACTAAATTTCAACTTTTATTTTATTTTTAAGGTATAAAGGTGTAGCATGCGAATCATTTCTGAACTTCATCATGGAACCTATCCTAAGAACAACAACTTTTTATCCCATTTTTTGAGATGTGGGTCAAAATGTGTTGTTCATGGGAAGGATTCATCAAATTTTCGGGAAATATCCCGATATAGAAGGAACAATCAAAAGGGGTAATCACAGTACACTCAAGTGGATCGATGTGCAAATGGGAGCCTTTCAAGAAGCATTTGATAGGGATCTGAATTTGGGTCCACATCGACGCTTCATCCACACCCACATCGAGGCAAGTACCTCACGCGAAGACACCAAGTGCTAGATACCAAAATGGAGTGCGATCAAATTTTAGATTCTATCGTAGCATCATAGAATATCCGCGCAATATTCCTCATCCTAACGCATATGGCACAAAACTGGTTATAACTTTATCGTTCGGTTATATCTTTGTGGCATATTATTGATTGTTGATTTGTTGTATTGTATGGAGTATACTAATATCTTTTCAACTAATTTGTCATTGAAAGGCTCTGGCTGAAATAGATATTGAATTGCATTCTATCGGACACCATTTAATACATAAGAGATATGTTAATCAATTCAACGGTGAAAGCTGCACGTAGGTGTAAAACAATCTACCAAGTTGATTGAGATGGGCATTTCAAGCGTAATCTCTACATGTAATTAGTGACCTCAATTGTATTTATTTCTATTTACATTCATTAATATTATTGTTTGATCTCATTTAACCACACAAACTAATATCCTTTTGTGCAGGTTGGAATATATATTGCCAATGTATCTTTATGATTTTGACCTATGAAAAGGTGTTAACATCTTTTTTTATGCTTTTCAACGTACTATATTGATTTCTGACAGTTTTCATTTATTATCAAATTGTTGTTTTACTCATTGAGTGCAGGAGCAGGGCTATTAGAGGGGTTGCAAATGTGTCGCACTACTTTTGTCAACTGTAAGGATGATCATGGGAGTCTTCTCTATGCTTGTTTGTACAGACTATTTGTATGTATGTTTTTGTTTAAGAGTTGCATAGAACTTTTGAGAGTTTTTTGAAACTTATCTATCTGTTATTAGTATTTGGGTATTATTAATTCTGAATAGCATCGATAAAACATCAACAATGATTTGATAATATCCAAATATTACTAGCAAAGAGATAAGTTTCAGAAAACTCCCAAAAGTTTTGTGCAACTCCTAAACAAAAACATGCATACAAATAGTTTGTCCAAACAAGCATAGAATCATCTTCACATTTGCCAAAAACAATGGGACACATTTGCAACCCCTTTAATAGCCCTACTTTTGCACTTAATGAGTAAAAGAACATTTTGATAACAAATGAAAATTGTCAAAAATAAACAGAGTAGTAGGTTGACAAACATAAAAAAAGATGTTAACACATTCTCATAGGTCAAAATCATAAGAATATATTGGCAATAGATATTCAAAACCTGCACAAAACGATATAAGTTTGTGTGGTTAAATGAGATCATTAATGAATGTGAATAAAAAAAATATAATTAAGGTCACTAATTACTTGTAGAGATTACGCCTAAATGTCTATCTCTATTAGCAGCTTGGTCGATTGTTTCACAACCACGTGCAGTTTTTACCATCGAATTGATTAACCCATCTCTTATGTAGGAAATTATGTCCGAAAACATAAAATGAAATTCAGCGTCTATTTCAACCAGAGCCTGTCAATGACAAATTATTTGCAAAAATATTAGTATACTCCATACAACACAACAGTCGGTAATATGCCACAAGAATATAACCGAACGATAAATTTATCACCGTTTTTGTGCCATATGCCACAAGAAGATCGAGCAGATGTTCCATCATGTTACGATAGAACCTAAAATTTGACCGACACTCCATTCTGGTATCTAGTACCTAGTGTCTTTGCGTGAAGTACTTGCCTCGATGTGGGTGTGGATGAAGCACCGAGCATCGATGTGGACCCAAATGGGGAATTCGGATCCCTATCAAATGCCTCTTGAAAGGCTTTCATTTCCACATTGATCGATCCACTTGAGTGTATCGTGATTACCCCTTTTGATTGTTCCTTCTATATTGGGATATTTCCCGAAAATCTGATGAATCTTTCCCATGAACAACACATTTTGAGCCACATCCCGAAAAATGGGATAAAAAATTATTGTTCTTAGGATAGCTTCTATGGTGAAGTTCGGAAATGATTTGTATGGTACACCCTTATACCTTAAAAATGAGATAAAAGTTGAAATTTAGTGTTTGATAGTAAAAAAAAGAGCACAGCGTAAAAAAACAACCTAAGAAATTTTCTAAGACTCTAAGAAATACTAACCGCCAAAAATCTCTATTGAGATACAAATGGAGTTTTGAATAATATGGTTCACTCACACTCCATGGACCATCCATGCCTAATACTGACAGACTCCTAATATTATTAGGGTCCATCATGGTCCCACTGATAAAATCCAAATCATACATTGAATGACAAGACACTAAGCAAATGAATTAATAAAAAATAATAACAAATTAACATAGGTAATAAACAAATTAACAACAACAAAAAACAGTATTTATCAACTTATGACTGAAATTGAACAACTTTGCAATAGGGAGATTGTTGCTTCCATAGTGGATGGCTATGCCCTTAGTTAATCCCTTGTGGTTATAACCTGCCATGAATGAGTCATCGATTTCTTTGGCAACGGTGCTCCACACAAATTGAACAGAGAGCATAGCGAATTGTGCCCAATAAAATCCTTTACTTCTATCAATCTCCTTAGACAACAATTGATTAAAATACCCCATGAAGATCATATAAACCATCTTGGGTGTAAAATGAAAACTACTGTTGTTATCAATTTCACAAAGATGCTCCAAAAGATGTGGACTTTGAATTTGGCATAACACTTTCATTCTCACGACATTTTTAAGCTCTCCAACAGTTCCACTATCTATTGCACGATAGCAGGATGAGAGAATGGGTTTGCAGTCGCCGAAAACTAAAGAGCAGTAAAATAGACCTTTCTAAGGGAGGTTGTCTTTATCTAAATGAAATGGGATGTCTTTAAATCTTATAGATAGTAGGTTATCTGACAAGGATGGTGGTGGTTGAGGCGTGAAAGGAGTAGAAGGAACCGCCATTGTAAGCGAATAGGATAATGTCGGGTGTCCTTGTCCTCACTCAGTTCACTGTGTATACCCTACGCAATCATTTTGGGCGACAAAACCCCTAAGATTTTGAAAAACACTAGGGCCTAATTGAACCAATACCTTAATATTTGAGAAAACACTAGGGCTCGTTTGATTAAGAGTCCTGATTCGTTTCACTTAAAAAACTACATTAAAAGTGTTTTAAGTTCCTGATTCGTTCTAATTGGACATAAAAACTACATGTTAAAAAAATTAAAAGTTCTACAAAACAAGATGTGAGAATAACATTTTATTTTATTAGATTATCAATGAAAACACACAAATAAACCAAAGTCATTGAGAAGAAACAGAAAATGAAGTTGTAATCAAAATGGGGACGGATGAAGTATTTCTTTAATCTTGCGTAGGTTGCTGGTTCTATTAGCTTATTCGCGTATAATATGCGCATTACATACTCACACGTATAATACACATATTATACTACTCAATATGGATTTTTCAAGTGACAAGCGTAAACTACACATATTTTCTTATCCCAAACATATATATACAGATTTTATACGTTTTAAATCATAAAAGTCATCTTCTATCGACTTCAACAATCAAGATTTACATGATCAAATTTTAGATCGAAATGTTAGATAAATTTTCTTGATTGTCTTCCTCCCAAAAATACAAATCTTTAAATTTTGGTGACTAGGCCATTGTAAAAGTTTTAAAAATTGGTTTGTAAAAGTTTTAAAAATTGAATTTAGTTCGTTCGTAAATGTATTTTTCATTTTAAAAATGAAAAAAATATAAAATTCATTTAATTTTACTCAATTTCAAATTGCATAAATGATTATTTTGGGAGCTCATATTTATATTACAAAGAAACTTAAATCTTCCTTTAGAATTAGTGATTAGCATTCAAATTGTCCAATAATATAATTTCCGTCATGTCTCAAATGCTCCATTTCTCATTTCCTTAAGATTTGAAAAACACTAGGGCTCTTATGATTAAGAATCTAATTTGTTCAATTTATTTTTAATCTTATGAAGTTCAATCTTGCGTGGGTTGCTACTTGCTAGCGACCACCAAAGTCATCCCTCCTAGTGCCAGAGAGGTGGATCCAATGATTGAGAGTCATAGGTGCCCCTCTCTCTACGTGTCGTTATGTGTATATATATGTGTGTATATATATACACACACACACATATATGTGTGTGTGTGTGTATAATTATATATATATATTCATCATTCATGTTGTTGGAACACACTTTAGGATAATGTTGTAATAAAGTGATAGTTCGATTTTTGACAGGTTTTGATATGTGTCAAACCAACAAGGATATGAAGAAGCCTCATTGAACATCTCAAGGCAAAAAACAAGAGTGGCACAAGCCACAATGGCATCAAAAACAAAGACCAACACGAACATTAAGACTTAGGATTGTGTTGGTATCATTGTGATCAAGACTAGCATTTAACAACAAATTCTCTTTTTACGTTTGTGACTATCGGATAGATGTTTAAGACCCATAGCTATTGAATTATCTCTAAAACCGAATCCAAATTCATAAATTCTAATACTTAGTAAAATCAAATACAAACTTTAAATTTCCAAAAAAATATATATATATATATCACAAATTCATAGCAATTCATTCAATCTGTAATCTATTCATATCAATTCGTCCATATCAAATAAAGAACATATGGAACCATAAATTCATTCATATTTCATAGCAATTAGCAAAGATTTTAGATTATTGATTAATAAATAAACCTAGATTTTAAAGTCAAAGAATGAAAGTGTGAAAGATTGAAAGATATCACGAAATTGGGAAGAGAGAGTGAATAGCTAGAGCAATTAGCAAAGATTTCAAATTATTAATTAATAAATAACCCTAGATTTTGAAGTCAGGGGATGAAACTATGAAAGATTGAAATAAATCACAAAATTGGGAAGAGAGAGTGAATACCTGGAGGCTAACGTCGGCATTGGCGAGTGAAAAACCGGCTCTCTTTGACTCTCGGCCTCTCACTCTCTCTGATTGATTTTCTTGAAACTGTCGAACGAAGGGCCAAAATGTACACCCAAAAACTGTCAATGAAAAGGGAAGACATCATGCTCTCATTATTTGGCATGCATGGAGAACATCGTGATACTGCAATGGATTGAAATATTTTAAAATAAACCCAAAGGATCGTTACAGCAGAAGTATGATCCATATGAACTACCCTTTCCACTCTAACCGTGTCTTCACACCCACTTCCGGACATAACCATTTTAACAGACCGTGACTGCAACACATTCCCAACAGCTTTGGTGGAAACCTTTACAGTTTGACTGTGGTTTTTTTGCTGAAATATCAGCATCAACCTTTATATGACTAAAAAATTGTTAGACTTCCGTAGATACCCAGAACTTAAATAAAAATAATCATCTCATTCCATAAGCCAAAAGTAAAAACGGATTATTCTCAAAGAAACCTTAATGTTTATAGGCCTTGCTGGTCCATTGCAGGTGATAAGAACTGCAAATAAATCACTCTTTCTATTTGTTACGTATTTCATACTAATGCACACAGAATTCCCTTTGGTAAAACATACTCCATAGTCCAAAGTCCTTGCAATGTTTCTGCAGGTATACATACTTGAGCAGAAAAAAACATGTACACCTAGAAAATTTTTGCTAGATATTCAGTCAAGCTTAAAAATAATCCTTCATATGGTAAAATTGTTTGACTATACATTACAAATAAAAACAACAAACTGAATAGAGGTGTTTAAAACACCAAAACTGACACAGTGTCAATTAGGAAAGGTTGTGTCATTTAGTTCTGTCTTCACAAGGTAGGAATGTAATCGAACATTCAAAACACTGAAATGCTATCTATCATGTCTTTCAATTACATAGTCTTACAAAAACGTTCATACTCTAAATTCAAAATTTCCAACACTACGCAACTATCCCTTGAGCCCATTTACTATTATAAATCAATTAAACAAAGCAATGTAAGCTCTATGGATCATCTGAGCGTCATGGTTGTCAAAAATATGTATGTATCATTGAGGCGACATATGCTGTAAATAAGTGTTTAAAAGAAAGATACGATTTACCAATCAATCAAAAGTCATTTGATGGCATATCAGAGCGCCATGAGTGAAGAAACAGATTTAGTTGCCACATTAACACATAAGTCGGAAAGTTACTATCAAATTCCTACTCTACAAAACAGGGGGGCAGTGAATTACTTGGTGAATGCATATGTTACTGTTAGTAACAAGAGAAGCAGCTGGTAGTTCCATGTGGCCTGCCCAAGTCCCATCCTTTTCCATGGATTCACAATACTCAACAAACGGAATGTCGTCTTCAATAAAGGGCTCAAATGTCTCACGATTCCTCTGTGAAGTATATAGCCCCGGAAATCATCACAGTTCAATTAGAATCCATGAGAAGGCTAGCAAAATATCTTAATGGCAAATGCTATAAATTCAAAGAAAATGATTCTTGGAATTTGAAAAGAAAAAAAGAAAATCAAAACAATCTCAAGATGTTTACCCTGATGTATTTCACAACCATACTCCGATATTTCGCATGCTCATCCTCATCGCCTTCTAATTGATCAGCTACAGCTCTGGAAATTGTTTCTGGTCAAACTATCCATTAACAAATGGTCACCCAGTCCGAACCAGCCATGGACGACCATTTTCCCGAGAAAGGAGGCATCTAAACACATGCCCGGCTCATACCAGAAGAACAATAACTAACTTACGATTCCAGCAGCTTGTAGCGAACCGAATTAATAATGTCTCAACAACACACCATGGAACACATACACATAGCCAGATCATCCAAATATGATGCTGTAGAAACGAAATGTGGATTTATTAGAAAAACAAACAGTTTCAAAACAAGAGGGAAATATTAACCGGTAATTCAAATCTTTAGGTGCAAAAACTAGAAGACTTACATAGCAATGTAAATGTTATGAATTATCTTACGAACATTGAACAGGTAGTCGATTAGGGTCAGAGGCTGGGGGAATTTTATTGATTTAAGCAATACTTCTTTGGCGTCTTTGTCAACCACAATCCTACAGTGTCTCGGGAACTGAGGATAGCCCATTCTTGACATGCTCTATGTAGAATAATAATGTTTGGGATAGATAAGAAAATAGCACGATTGATTTGATACTTGGTGTTTGGATCATAGTTTGTAAGGCGTCGCCTAGGCGATAAGGCGCTGTCACTGGTACGCTTTGTCTGCTCGCCTCGCCTAGAAAACCTTAAGGCGACCAGGCGCTCGCCTAGGCGTCGCCTTTCCTCGCCTTACCTCACCTTACCTCGCCTTGATGCTTTGGGCCCCTTTAAAATTTTGAAAAAACACATTTTTTAGTGCAGCTCTTTTTCTTTTAGTGTAGCCTAATAGATTTAAACTTATCTTCTCTCTCTCGGTCTTCTGTGTCAAGCTTCCATAAAATGTATAAGACCTATATATAATATACATGTACATACATACATATATATATATATGTATGTATGTATATATATATATAGGTATGTATGTATATATATAGGTATGTATGTCGCCTAGTCGCCTAGGCGATATGAAGGTACATTGGCGCCTCGCCTCGCCTTGCGGCCTTACAAACTATGGTTTGGATTGTCTGTGAAATGAACTAAATAGTTTATAAGGACATTTTTTTTCATTCATGCATAAAATTTCATACTTTAGTAACAAAAATATTCATGACCTATTTAACATAAACTGTCGTTCACACTTCACAATCAATCACACATTCAACAAAGACCAGCTGCAACCACTGCAGAGAATTACATTTCAAAATGACTCATTCAAGCCAACACACAGATTCGGCAAGCCCATGATAAAATCAATCACAAACTGTCTTTCCCAAAAAGTCTTATCCTTAATGGTCTAACAAACTAAAATACATAAACTAACTATATTTAAATGACAATTAATCAAATAGAATTATAAGAAAGTAAGTAAATGACAAAATCATAGTACTATAACTACAAACTCTCTTTTTATGTTTTTTTACTGCCGGATAGATGTTTAGGACCCATAGCTATTGAATTATTTCTACAACCAAATCCAAATTCATAAATTCTAATACTAAGTAAAATCAAATACAAACTTTAATTTCCAAAAGAACAAATTTTATAAATCATAGATTCATAGCAATTCATTCAATCTGTAATCCGTTCATATCAATTCGTCCATATCAAATAAAGAGCATATAAAACCATAAATTCATTCGTATTTCATAGCAATTAGCAAAGATTTCAGATTATTAATTAATAAATAACCCTAGATTTTAAAGTCAAAGAATGAATGAAACTGTGAAAGATTGAAAGATATCGCGAAATTGAGAAGAGAGAGTGAATACCTGTAGCAATTAGAAAAGATTTCAGATTATTAATTACGAGTAATAAATAGCCCTAGATTTTGAAGTCAGAGATGAAACTATGAAAGATTAATCACGAAATTGGGAAGAGCGAGTGAATACCTGGGGGCTAACGGCAGCGTCTTGCGGGAGAAAAACCCGCTCTCTGGAGCGTCTTTGACTCTCGGCCTCTCACAATCTCCACTTCTTCTTCTTCATCGAACAATCCACAGCCGCCAACCACAATCTCCTCCTCTCCCCCATTTCGTTATCGCACAAGAGCAAAAGGAAGGCCGCCGCACACACACCATGCCCATTCCCGCTGCTGGAGAAGAAGAAAAACTAGAGAGTCAAACCGCTGCAGGTTGGCTTTTTAGCCTCTGGTTTGGTTTGGCCAGAGGTAATTCCAAGTTTGTGTTTATTACACCCTCTAGGGTTGTAAACAGATAGCCGAAAATCTGATTACCGTCCGCATCCGTATCCGTTTAAAGAGAAAATATCCGCATCCGTTTTAAACGGATATTATCCGTATCCGATTAACCTATAGGCTAATGATTTGCCTATGCCTAGACCATTAACATATAGGCTAGGCAAATTTTAGGCTAGGCTTATACGTAGGCAAATTTATTGGCAAATAGGCTTATAGGCTAGGCAATATATATCAAAAAGGATTAAAAAATACAAATATTAAACAAAGAGATAACTATTTTCAAAATATAAGACATTTTTATATACAAAAAAATGTGTAGACACATTAAAATAAATACAGACATATAAAAATATGTGTATATGTGTGCTGTGTATATCGTTTTATCATATGGAATTATCATACAATATTATAAATCATGAAAACAAAGAAAATAATTATCTCATACCAACTTATAGTTGATTTAATAATAGTTTGACTTTAATCTAATTTAAAATTATAGTATTGTTTAATTTGATTTTAAAAATTGGAAACGGATACGGATATATCCGATATCCGACCGATATCCGACGGATGCGGATACGGTTTTGATTTTCAGTATCCGTCAAGATCCGTATCCGAATTCGATATCCGACAAAAATAAACGGATACGGATTTGGTAATGGCACATCCGATCCGATTAATATCCGTTTACACTCCTAACACCCTCTATGGTTTTTTAAAGTAGGCGTATCCTCCTATATACAATGGTAAGAGGAGCTTATGAACAGTGTTCCCGCCTAAATGATGGAGCTGCCTTTTCGGATATGGGCCTGGCTGGCGAACTACTCGAATATGGGCCTGTCTATTTGTGTCTAAATAAAAAGTGATGTCAAATCAAAATTTGGTGCGCTGCTCTAGAAATATTTGGTGGGTTGCTCAAAAAAAATTGGTGCATTATTTAAAGAAATATTTGGTGTGTTGCTCAAGAGATATAGCTACCTATTCAATAAAGTAAAAGATATTGCTTTGTTCAAGAAAAGCTTTATAGTGTGGGCACGGCAGCCATCAAACCAAGCACTACTTTTAATGTAAAAATTACTTTATGTCTCATTCAACATTAAATGTTGAGATTGTGAAATCTTTAAAGGACTTGGACAATTAATGCATTAGAGTGAGGTGTCTCATTAAACCTGCTATTTATACATTAATACTCCGTGCAAGATTCACCACAAACAAAGCCAAGTTATCTTACATCCAAGTTTCATACACCCATTTCCGGTAGTCTTTTGTTCATCCGGCTTGACTTCTCCAGGTATTGAGATCATATCCGTGACTTTATGGTGAAAAGAAAA